CACGGGATTGTTCCTGACACGCCAAGTTATAAACCCTTCGAGACTGAAACCATTTACTGTCACCTTAATTATAAGAGAGCAAAACACTAATGCAAGATTCTCAGAATCGGGTTTCTTTGCCTCTGAGTGTGTCAGTCAACCCGTCAGCAAAATACCCAGCCACCTGACTGGCTCCCAACCCCGCCCCCGTGTCCATGACCACAATCGCCCAACAGCTAGCCAGCCAGCCATCCAGCAGGCCAGCCAGCCAGCCAGCCAGCCAGCCAGCCACCCAGCTAGCCAGTCAGTCAGCAAACTAACCAGGCAGCCAAACAGATAAATACCCATCAGTATCATAACGCAACACACCCTTTCCCAACCCCGTCCACCCTCCCACCAGCCGGCTAGCTAACCAGTAAGCCAGCTAGCAAGCCAGCTAAGTAGTCATTAAGCCAGCTATCAACAAACCAATCAGTCCATCAACCAAAAAACCCTCCAGGAAGCCAACCAGTCCATCACCCCACCTACCTAATTAACCGGAGCTCATTATAACATGACTGGCAACATAAACAAGGATAACATAATAAGAGAGAGCACAATGAAATGTAATCTGTACCTTAACTTTAATAAATCTTACGATTACGTAATGTAACTGTTAAAATTAGGCCACAATAACATAGCTGAGGATAAGAAAAATAACCCAGGAAATAAATTAACCCGGGTATAAATAACCCCAGGAATAAACGACCCCAGAAATAACTGACCCCAGAATACCAAAGGGTATACTACCCTAATTACATAATGCAATTCCCTAACACCGGAACCTCAGCTAAAATATAATATAACGTTTTTAAATTAATAAATCGACTGACAATATTTTTCTTAAGGAATTATGATGAGTCTAAAAAGTGAATTGAAAAAGTTTTTCCTCGAAGTGATGGATTTCCCGGACCCGTTTTTAAAAGTTTATGTTGAAGAAAGTGATGGTTACATGTGAACTATTATTATTATTATTATTATTATTATTATTATTATTATTATCATTATTATTATTATTATTATTATTATTATTATTTTTATTATTATTATTATTATTATTATTATTTTATTATTATCATTAATATTATTATTATTATTATTATTATAATTATTATTATTATTATTATTATTATTATTATTATTATTAAGCGTTAAATCCATAGTTAAAATGGTTATAATTATAGCTATAAATTATAGCTATAAATTTTGCCAGTGGAAGGCCTCAGTGATCGACACCATGCCCAGCCCTTCTAGGGTAGGGTAGGTGCCTGTACCAGAGCTTGCAGCTCACAAGCCTATCATTCCCAATAACCCACTTGGGGCGGGGATGGCAGACCAGAGAGGCCTCGCTTCTCCCTACGAGCCCCGTGAGGGCGGGGAATGTGGCTAGGCCTGGGGACAGTTGGTCCCAAAAATGAGGGGGTACTTGTGCCTCCTCCCATGGGAGACTTAGGTCTCAGACACTCCCTAGACAGGGAGCCAAGGCCGGGGCACCACTTGGAAAAGGCCCGGGCCGGGAGAATACCGGCGAATCTTTAATAATAATAATAAGGCTTCAGTCAGATGACCAAAAGCTCCAGCTGTAGGTCATCATATGACTCAGACCTGCGTCTGGAAACACTTGTCTTATTTCCTGACAAAACTAACACCTATCTACCTACCACAATTGTCAGAAAACAAGTTTGATCCCAGAATATACGTACACCGAGACGTATTTCTCTCACTGTATCTACAATGAGAGAATACTTTAATCCCTATTTAAGGGTTCGAAGAATTCTTAATTCCTGGTGAACATATTACCCTAGTGAAGACGAAAGGCTTTAAACCTCATTAACCGACCTATAGGGGTAGGGGCAGAGACCATTTGCTATAGGGAAAAATACTACAGAAATATATTAAAATACGGGGGCCATAAGAGAAAAGCCTAGCGAAGACAGAATGCGAAATAATTATAGCCGTCTCCCGGGATGAAATATGAAACATATAGTTTGAAGCAGTGATGCGAATACTTTGTCATGCCTTTTGCAAGCCCTTCTGTGAGGAAAAGCAAAAGTCTAACTGATATAAAACTAGTACACTACACTGAGGTAAGTCCTACAATAGGTTACTGTAGGACTAAGATATGCGTAATATGAAAATTTTGCATGGGGCCCCAAAAATTTTTAAGAACGTACTTTATGCAGTTGAAAATTATTGAATGTGTGTTGTGGGTGCGTAAACATATATATTCATTGATATTATAATTTTACAATGACGTCCTCATTTTGAGATTATTCTCAAGAGTTTTACAATTGTTCTCATCAGCTTCCATCAAAATTGTCATTATATTACTCTCTTAATTGATACAGTTATTAGAATAATTAAAACTGTATTTTCGTTATAATCAAGAAAGCTAGACTGTGATAAAGAAATGTGTCAACAGAACAATATTATTTCCAAGTAAGAAAAATCTCATCCTACACGAGAAAATTTTTTTAAGTTAGACTGAAATCATTTTGCACTACAGTAATGTTAATACTCTTGCAGTTATATATGTTCTGGTAGTTGGTGTCCTCTGAACCTGCTCTAATACTGGTAGTTTACGTGCTTCACTTGTATGATAATGGCCACTGAGGCTAATTGTTCACCATTAATATTCATGAAGCTGCATATTCACTGACTATTTTGAATCCTTCTTCTACTAAATTATTCATCCATTCGCTGGGGACATTTCTGGGAGGGCTAACATATTGTAAAATCCTGACGCTCAGCAGACAGAGAATCAAGCCTCCACCACGTCTTCCGCTATATAACCCACATGGGTTTAGCGTTTAACATGAATTAAACAAATAAGCAAGATAATAGGCTGTTTTTATTTAATTACCTTATTTTTTTATATATAATTTCGACTTCTAAAATTTAAATTAGGAATAACTCGCGGTGGCTGGGTTTTATATGCAGCTTTATATACAGATATATATATATATCAGTGATTGTTGATGCAGAAAACACTTGCATACCGCCAGCAATTGCTCATGTTGCAACAGACTGTGACATAATTCTTGGTGTGGTAAGTGTGTTAAAACACTTCTCACTACGGAATGCACAGTGGGTCTTGATAATCAAAATGGGGAAAACCGAAACAGTAGAGCTTTTATAGCGGAGTATTATTTGCACAGCTACGCTCGGGTTTCGAGTTATAAGTAACGACTCAGTTTCTACAGTTTTCTTGAGAGTAATTATCAAATTGACATTGATTATCAAAAGTGTGGGATCCACCTATACAATTTTTTTGATGATAAACAAAATTAGCCTTATCATTTTTATCAGGTTGCTATAGGATGAAGATATGCGCCATAACGACGCTGGTAACATGTGAAAATACAGAGCTGTTGACCTTTCGTCTTATCTCTGTTGTTTTTAATTATTTATCAGTATTTCTGACTGTGTTACACTGAAGCTCATAGATGCATGATTATAAATGTTTATTACTTGATACTGATGCTGTGTTTGGAATAATAATTGTACCTATTGTATCTATGGGTGCTGCTCGACTGTTTTGGATGGTGTTCCAGGAAAATGATAGTAGCTACGACTGGGTTTCAAAATAAGCTAGGTTAAAGCAATTAAGTGAGACAAGATAACTTTTAGCCTGTAAATGAGCTGAGACAGAATAATAGTTATTAGTCTGTAAATGAGCTGAGGTAGAATAATAGCTGTTAGTCTGTAAATGAGCCGAGGTAGAATAATAGCTGTTAGTCTGTAAATGAGCTGAGACAGAATAATAGCTGTTAGTCTGTAAATGAGCTGAGACAGAATAATAGCTGTTAGTCTGTAAATGAGCTGAGACAGAATAATAGTTATTAGTCTGTAAATGAGCTGAGACAGAATAATAGCTGTTAGTCTGTAAATGAGCTGAGACAGAATAATAGCTGTTAGTCTGTAAATGAGCTGAGACAGAATAATAGCTGTTAGTCTGTAAATGAGCTGAGACAGAATAATAGCTGTTAGTCTGTAAATGAGCTGAGACAGAATAATAGCTGTTAGTCTGTAAATGAGCTGAGACAGAATAATAGCTGTTAGTCTGTAAATGAGCTGAGACAGAATAATAGCTGTTAGTCTGTAAATGAGCTGAGACAGAATAATAGTTGTTAGTCTGTAAATGAGCTGAGACAGAATAATAGCTGTTAGTCTGTAAATGAGCTGAGACAGAATAATAGCTGTTAGTCTGTAAATGAGTTGAGACAGAATAATAGCTGTTAGTCTGTAAATGAGTTGAGACAGAATAATAGCTGTTAGTCTGTAAATGAGCTGAGACAGAATAATAACTGTTAGTCTGTAAATGAACTGAGACAGAATAATAGCTGTTAGTCTGTAAATGAGCTGAGACAGAATAATAGCTGTTAGTCTGTAAATGAGCTGAGACAGAATAATAGCTGTTAGTCTGTAAATGAGCTGAGACAGAATAATAGCTGTTAGTCTGTAAATGAGCTGAGACAGAATAATAACTGTTAGTCTGTAAATGAGCTGAGACAGAATAATAGCTGTTAGTCTGTAAATGAGCTGAGACAGAATAATAGCTATTAGTCTGTAAATGAGCTGAGACAGAATAATAGCTGTTAGTCTGTAAATGAGCTGAGACAGAATAATAGCTGTTAGTCTGTAAATGAGCTGAGACAGAATAATAGTTATTAGTCTGTAAATGAGCTGAGACAGAATAATAGCTGTTAGTCTGTAAATGAGCTGAGACAGAATAATAGCTGTTAGTCTGTAAATGAGCTGAGACAGAATAATAGTTATTAGTCTGTAAATGAGCTGAGAAAGAATAATAGCTGTTAGTCTGTAAATGAGATAAGGTAGGCTAACAGCTCTTAGCTTCTATGCCGAGATAGGAGAATTGCTCTTAGTTTGCAATTGAGCTGAAATAGGATAATAGCTGTTATCATACTGATCGTGAGAAAAGAAAAAAGGTGTATATAACAGAAGGTAAAGAAAATAAAAAAAATATTAAAAAGATTTATTGAATTATATTATCGATGGATATATGGAAATTTTTATGGTCACGATAGAGAAATTTTTCTAATTAAGGTTGAAAAGGAGAGGATATGTGAGTAACTAAGGAAACAAGCTGACAAATGACTAAAAAAAATAGGGAAGGAGGAATTAATTTTATTTTATTTGCTCAGTATTGAACCTTATTACATATGACTTGATAAAGCTGTCTCCAGAGGTAAGCGTCGTCAAAAAATAAAGGCATTCTCTGCTTTACGTGTCTTTATACCACGTTTCGAAGTTTGTCTCAGAAATAATCAGGAAATATGTTACTTCTGGTTTATTAGTGGTTAGATTTGAAGCCTGTCAACTGAATCATGTTCCTTTAAAAGGCATGACAGTAAACTCTCCGTGTTAGTACGCCTTGCAGTGAAAAAAAAATTTAATTACTTAAGGTAGAATATTTAGATTATTAATACTACTTTTTTTTTTGCACCTAGGAAAAGGCAGTCGAGTATAATTTTGCTTGCACATGCGTCTATACCTCAGTTTTATATTTGCAATAAGCAGTAAT